GGTAAAAGGCAGAGGTGATGGGGTTAGGACAGTGCTTTCCAGACTGCAAAGAGCATGAGGAAAGGCAGAGCAAATAGCATGGTATATGCTGGGAACTACATACAGATTGGTGCTGCTGGAAAATAAAATTCAAAGTAGGTAGTGGTTAAGAATGAGGCTAGAGAGGAAGAGCAGAGGACCAATCACTGAAAGGCCTGAAGGCTACCCTAAGGAGCTTGAATTATAGACTATAGGTGATGAGGGTCATTTAAGCAGAAAAATGACACAGTTGGATTTGTTTTATATTGGGCACTATGTGGAAGATGCATTTGAAGTACACACCACAATAGGAAGAGGAGACTTACAGGAGGTTGCTGCAAATGAGATGATAAAGGAGTGAATTAAGACGCTGGTGACAGAGAAGATGGCAACAGATTACTGAACTATTTAGAAGGCAAAATCAGCAGGGAGAGTCAAGGATGATCAGTTTGGAATACAGGATGAAGACTGAGGCCACTCAATTTATATAAAGAATATTGGAGGAAGAAGAGGTTTGGGAATGGGGGTGGAGGATGGGGAAGATGACAAATGCATTTTTAAATGTGCTAAAATTTTTAAACAGGCCATCTTGGTGAAGATATCCAGCAAGTATTTGAATAAAAGACAGATTCTGAAGGCAGGACTGAGATGTAGCTATCAATTGAAACCACCAAAGTATGTGAGATCACCCAGGAATAGTATGTAGCATGAGGAGAGTCATGTGCCAAGAAGAAAATACTAGAGGATAGAAATGGGAAAAAGAGGTCAGGGAGGAGACAAAACAGGAATAGTTGGAAAAATAATAGAACCAGGAGAGTGCAGTGTCCTGAAACCATGGGAACAGAGATAATGAGATACGGTGACCCCACTTTCATAACATACGCAATTTGCTTCTGTGAAACTGCTTGCTGTGTGACAAGATAGATTAAGTAAGTTTAAATAGTGTTTGAATTGCTTAAAAAATGCTATTGTTTAAAAATCCCCCCTTGGCTCTTTAGCCCCCCCTTGATAGAAGTTAAAACCTAAATATTAGCCTGCCTTTGTCATTTCCCGCCTATGCTGTCCTTGACTGATAAAACCAAGGGCTGTATCTGGATGTATCTAGACAACCTAAGGAGGAAACCACCCTGTGAAAGTTTTTGCCATCCCTAAGTG